GTGAAGAGGAGTTTGAGATGAGCCGTGGCAGAAGGTCCTAGTTCATCTTTTACAGTTCCTGAGAGCCCTCTCCATTATAGAACAGCCCCTACTCTCTCACCGGCCCCTTTAGTAATGGAAATAGGACTCCCTTCCCCCCCCCCCATACCATCTCTGCATTTCCCCTTTCCCCTCTGCCCTTCCAGCATCCCAAAACCTGAACTTCATGACCCGGATGCTGCCAGTTCAGACAACCAGACAGCCAGGCAGTAAGGAGACTGATTGATACCTTCTTTTCTTAGGAGAAGCCGTCCCCTTTTGACTTGTGGGTCAGATGGCTTCACTAGCCACAGCATGATGGGAACTAAAGACAAGCAGAGAACAGACCCAAAGAGACATGTGGACGTGAAAAATGAAACCATTCACCACTCCAAGCCTGTCCTCAGCGCCCCTCAATCCCACACTCTCCCTCATCCCTACACTTCCCAGAACATGGTGGGTTCTGAATGGCATCCAACAGGAGGCTCCTGATCCTACCATTGGGACAGTGTTTAAGAGAGTCCCAGGATGAGCAGTGTGGGAGACTAAGGTGGATAATTGAGGGTTAACCTTTGGACAGGACCGTTTTGATGACTACAGACCAAGGACCGATTAGGGATGGAGAGGAAAGAACAGAAGCTCGGGAATCCCCTAGAGGAAAGGCTTTTCTTGGCCGTGATTTATCTCTGAATTCTGGAGGGTATCACAAACCTTCATTTTATCTGTGAAAGGAGCACAGTGACTCTCGGGTCCTTATGAGAATGAACTCTGCACACCTTGTAGGACCGGCCATGTGCACATTCCCTTTGTTTTATCCGTCTTCGCTTGTAATTTCAGGGAAAGAACGGCTGAGATTGCATTTTTGGAGTCCAGCCTCCTTGGTACATGAAGCATCCGCATGGAAGGGATTGATGCCGTGCACTTGGCTTCTCGTCAGTGTTTCTCTGCCAAAGTTTCCCATTCACCTTGTGGGGCTTCTTGTCCACACAGCCAGAAACTCATTCTTTATTGGAAAAGGATTTGGGGGTGGGATGAAATCTACTTTCATTTCTGGCTCTTTCTCCCCATCCTAGCTCTTACCACTTGACCGGGAATAAACACATGTATTGATCTTAAACTCCCTTTACTGTGAAGACGAATGAAACAAGGAACCTTTATTATGAGCCACTGGGCATATCCCTGTCCCTAAAACAATTCATTTGCATGTCGGAGCAAAATGCTTTGGCTCATGGTAGGCTCTAGCCTGCCCTGTTCATGTTCCTGTGGCAAGTAGGAGGGTGGGTTTCTCACAACATGCTCACCTGCCCCTGCCTGGCTCAAAGCCCACGCTCACACCACCAGCAGCAGAAAGTCTGCAGAAGATGCCAGGTCCCCAACCCGACAGGTCTCTGGAAAGCCATTCCTGTATGACGCTCCCACAGCTGAGCCTCTGAGTCTTTCAAAACCCTGAGCTCTTACTGCCTAGGGAGGAAGAGGGGAAATAAGGGCTTTCAGACATGACCCAGGCATAGCAGCTGAAGGAGCAGTCCGGCCCTTTCTCAAGCTCCCCAGTTCTCATTTTGTGCCCAGTATTGCTGAGAGTGGGAAGTTCCCAGGCAACCCAGCTCAGACCAGTGACATTTTATAATGTTGCCCTGCCTTTGGGGAGGGGTTTCTTGAAGACAAGAAAGCCAGAGAGGCTTCTTCTCCAGAGCACAGATAGGCAGCTCAGTCTCTTCAAACAGTTGACTCAAACTAAGCCATAGAGCTTGCAAGGGCTAGAGGGGCTTGGAAGTAAATCCAAGCTCCATGACCTTCTCATGGTCTTCTGGAGACGAAGTGTGATGTACTTGTTGGGAGGCATGGTGCAGGTTGCCAGGTTGTGGCTTTCTCAATTAGTTAACCCCTCACTGCCCAAACCTCATCAAGTTCCAGTGGCCCTCAAAAGGTGATTCCTGGATCGGCAATGTCAGCGTCATCTGGGAACTTAGGGATGCCTGTCCTCAGGACTCAAGATGGATGCCCTGGGTGGTAATCTCTGTGGTAGGAGTCCGGTGCTCTGGTCTTAAAACACTCTCTGGATGATTCTGAGGGGACTGCCCATTGGTAAGTGAGGAGGAGGCTAGATGGGGATCTGACTGCAAACTCATCTTTTCCTCAAGTGTTTGGCCACTCTGGCATATCTTTGCATTCTGGATGTCACACTGACCTCAGCAACTGGGGGAGACTTGGCTAGGCTTTCATTTCACCTTCTTTTCAAATAAAATACCATCCATGACGAAAATGATATTTACCATCTTTACAATTCGGAATACATTGATAGCATATTTTTTCTAGGGATGGACGGACCAACAAATATCTGTTCACCTAAGGTAGGATACCAAGAGCAGATGGAGGCCAGCTTGGCAAGCAAATGTGTATTAGAGGCACAGGATTGTGAATGACCAAAAATAGCTGTATCACCAAAACCTCCTGCCTCAGCATGAGTCCAAAACTGTATCAACAGAGTCTTCTCTCAGCCTACTGCATGCTATACATGTTAGCACCTTCCAAGACAATATGCAGCTGGAAGGATTCCATGTGGCTGGAATGGGAACACAGAGGAGAGAATGACCGGCATCTCAGCTGAGAGTCTGGTGATGTCCCCAGCCCCTCTATAAGGGCATAATAATAAGACTGCTCTCTCTCTCTCCCTCCCTCCCCCTCTGTGTGTGTGTGCACATATACATGTGCACATATTATGAGTGTGTCTGTGGAAAGCATGCTCATGCCACAGTGTGTGTGGAGGTCAGACGACAGCCTTTGTGTTGGTCCCCGCCTTCTCTGCTTGAGAATAGGCCTCCTCTTTTGCTACTATATATACCAGGATGATTTGCCCACAGGCTTACAGGTATACTCCCTCTGTCTCCAGTCTCACCATGAGATCTTAATATCACACAAACAGCTACTACAACCGGTCTGGTCTGGGGATCCGAACTCAGGTCCTCGCCTGAGCACATGCTTTATTCACGGAGATATTGGCTGGTGGTGTGAGCTAGACTCACTGTGATTTCAAGATCACAATGGCCATGTGGTCCACGGAGGACAGAATCCCACAATACAAATATTGATAGACTTATCAATATACCCAAGTGCAGGAATTTTATAGATGAGGAATGTGAGACCTGGCCCCGGGCTGGAGAGCTGTTTTACCAGGCTACATTTTCACTCCCTGGTCTTGCCAGGTAACTCAGCCTGCATGGTTCCATGTGTCATCACTAGCCACCTGGGAATGACTAGGCCATGATGAGAAGATGACTTCTCAACCGAAACTCATTTTTCCCAGTCATACTTTTTTAGCCTTACCCCCGCCAAGCCAAAAATATACCACTCTTCAAAGGCTATGAGACAGAGATAGAGATGCAGAACAGGGAAGAGCTTTGAGTATCTGAGCCATTTCTCCAGCTAAGGAGACTGTTGTCATCTACCTGTTGTTGAAGATTGCCTGGAAGGAAGAAGGAAACAGGGTAGGTCACGCTAGACCCTGTGGGATTTGAACTCAGAGAGGAAAAAGCAGTACCCAAGCCTCCCAAGCCGGTAGGCCCAGCCTCCGAGTCATGCCCCTCTGTCACTGTCGTCACGTGGTTCCTCACCGTGGAAACAGTCTGCCATGGCTCTTCCTCCTTCAGCTTTCACTGTTCAGCAAGGTCATTTGAGAGGATCTTCTTTGCTGGCTTGGCGACATGCTTCTTAATGTCGATACGGGCATTTAATGGGCTTTTGCCTATTGAGCAATTCATGTAAAGGTCGGTGAGTAATCCCCCTCACTTCCTTTCATGGCCAGCCCCCTGCTTCGACAATTCCTTGGTAGCATTCTTTCCAAAGAGGTGGGAGGACTGAGGTCACAGCTCTGCTCCCTCCTGGCCGACGCACTTTAATTAGGTTGCTAAATTAGCAGAGGCACTGGCAACTCTTTGCCCATACCTCAGTTCTAAGGCTTGTCTTTGAACTTGCCATTTGTGATCTCATTGGTTTGCTTTCTCTCGGAGGAGCTGTACTGGCCAGCTAGAGATTTGCCTGAAATAATTTTAGCTACCTGTAAATGTTTTCTATTTTGAAGAAGGTGCTCTTGGGGTGTGTGTATGTATGTGTGTGTGTAGGTATATATGTGTGCATGTGTGTGTGTACATGGTTTGTGTATGTGCATGTGTGCACTTATGTGCATGTGTATATATGTATGTATATGTGTGTGCATATGCGCATGTACCTGTATGTATATGTGGCTATGCGTATGTGTATGAGTTTGTATGTGTGGGTGTGCTTGTATTTGTGTGTATGTGTGTGAGTCTGTGTGTGTGTGTGCTGAACACATGTTTCCTCCAGGCACTGAGTCAGCCTCTTAGTCTGGATGATCTACTTCATCAAAAGGCTTCAGTGAGAGGGGTGTTCCTGTTAACACCATTTTACAAATGAGGAAATTGAGGCTCTAGGATTAAATAACTTTCCCAAACTAAAGAGAGAGAGGGAGAGTGAGAGAAAGAGAGAGAGAGAGAGAGAGAGAGAGAGAGAGAAACCAGGAGGGGCATGGAGTCAGGATTCAAGCCTGATTCTCAACCCCATCCTGGCAACCTTGGGTTTAAAGAGCTGCCAACAGCTCATTGATATCCCTTGGGGACTTGCTAGGGATGCAGAGTCTCAGGACCCCTGAATCAGAATCTGCATCTTGCCAAGGTGCCCCAGTTCATGTGCGGTACCACGGGAGATGGAAGCAATCTACATTCAGTAACATCATTGATTCCTGGTCTGTCTGGATTGCAAGCTATCATCAGCTCTGGTCTTCATCTCAGAAAGTTGAGGTGTAGAATACTGGCACAGACATCACCCATAACGAAATGACAATTTCTGTGCCCAAACTGGGATGTGGACATTTGGCTTTTCTCACTGTGATCTCAGAAGCGCCCTGGATTCATGCTGTTCTGATGGATGACAGAACCTGACTGTCCCCCTTTGTCATGCTCCTACAGATGTCCAGCACATCAAGAGGAGAGACATCGTGTTGAAGAGAGAACTGGGTGAGGGAGCCTTTGGAAAGGTCTTCCTGGCTGAGTGTTACAATTTAAGCCCCACCAAAGACAAGATGCTCGTGGCAGTGAAGGTAAATCTTGGGGTGCACGGGCAACCAGGGCAGGGCTGGAGGTGGTCCTGTGAGGTGGAGGACCATTGAGAAGGTGGTGTTAAACTGGTCTCAGACTCTGTTAGGGACCCTTGGTCCAGAGTCGGCCAAGCTTCCAATAGGCCAAACATGCCTAGTTTGAGAAGTCAGGAACAGCAATATGTAAGGGGGCTATGCCTGGGGACTTCTGACTGAGAGGCTCCGACTGAATGGGGAGCTTTAGGTCACTCAGTTCAGTGAGTGAGCATATGCTGTTTGCTTAAGTAAACATTTGGCCATGTCTTAGGAGAAGAACTGGATGAAAAGGGCTGTCTGATGAGCCAGGGAAGCCCCATGTCAAAGGTACCAGACATCACATGAGGAAGAGAGGAGCCAAGGTTAGGATGGTCACAGAATCAGCACCTGGAACTGGTGGCTGAGGTTGGGATACATTCTTAAATTCTTGCTATGACATCTGAGCTTAGTCTCCCAGGAATGTAAGCAGAAGGTAACTGCAGTTGTAGAAAGATATTTAGCCACAGGATTGTGTGCCCCTGAGGTTACAGGCAGGTTTGCAACTGGGGATGGATTGATGGGAAGTACGGAAAGAGCTTTGCTCCTACTGATTACCCTCCTCCAGCCCAAATCGACAGAAGGCCTTCTCGCTCCAGATTAGTGCTGGACAGGCCTTGACATGTTCACCAGTCAAGTGTCACATGGACTCACTGGCCTGGAACCACACTATAGAGTCAGGAGAATAGAGGGGCCTCTTTTCATGCATCCAGCATGAGGCCATTATGAAGTTTGCATGGTATTCCAGAATGACAGATGACCTTAGAGATGGAAATGAGAGGCATAACCACAGAGGAGGACACTCATTAGGACCTCAGAACAACCCCATCTTTAGTACCAAATAGCCTGATGGAAACTCCATTGTGAAGGCAATTTATGTTTCTTTGACTTTTGGGTCTTTGTATCTCTCCAGTCAATCTATCTGTAGGTTGTCTCTGCCCATAGAGGGTGAAACATCTGATAGATACAGACAGGGTAGTGCAGGGCACCATCTGGCATGGGTGCAGAGGGAGAGCCTGGATACAAATCCCCAATCCTTCACTGATCACCTCCATGACCTTGGGCGGAACTTAAGGCGGGCTTCACAATGTTGATGACTAAGTAAATGCTCAACAATGAGCAACAATTGTTTTTAATAACTGTATTTATTCCTGATGCAGACAACACTGATATATTTAGACACATCATATATGACCCACCGAGCTTTTATTTACTTGCAAATTTTTTTCTTTTAAGGGACCAGAGACTAAATATTTAGGTGCTGAAGGCTGTGCACTGTTGTGTCTCTCAACCCTGTCTGTCCAATGGGAAAGCAGCACAGATATCACATGTACTGCCCGAATGGCTGTTTCCCAAGACAGAGATTTTACTAAAACAGGCACAGACAGCTGATCTGTGTTTTGAAAATAATTACCTCGAATATTGTCCCACAAAGGGCTAATGATTATTGATACTGTGCATTCTTGGAGTGAACTTGAGTGTCTTGGGCAAGGCTGACAGAAATGTTTCTAATTTTGTCCTTAACCTTCGTGTCTGCCCTGCTGTGTTATGTTTAATGAGTAGGAGGACTCTCATCCACTGGCTGTCCCCATGTCTGTCTGGGAAGTGGCAAAGGAGCCAGCTTGAGAGCTTTCCACAGGAGATAAAAGATTGACAGAGAAGCATGGGTCTCGGTCAGGTCTGTGGAGAGTCTGGCACAGAGAGGCGCTTGCCAGAATGTGTGAGGCAGAAACACACTGTGTCTCTGGTTGCGCCCTTTCCAATGGGTCTCCTCCTCCCCATGGGTCTGGGAAATTCATGAGGGCTCTGGAATTTGACACCATTTGTCAAGCAATGGAGCTAGCTGCCTAGCCCAGCCCATGGACCTCAGAAGAGTCTCATGTGCTCCAAGACCACCCAGGGATGCGAGTTCTCTGCTCTCTGTCCTGTCTGGATTCTCATCCTTTTGCAAGCCTTTCTCTTGACTCTGCTCTCATGTTTATGGAGGGCAATTCTGTACTGCTGGAGGACACTGGCACACATAGACCAAGATTAGGTTTCCTCAAAATTGGGTGTAGGTTTACAATCTGGTTTTTTTTTTTGTGTGTGTGTGTGAATGTTTTTTTTACTCAAAAGTTAATATATATAAACAAGGGTGTGGAAAACACAGCCCATTTTTAAGGTGCTTGCAGCCTGCTGGGGAGCCAAGACAAACACCTGTAAAACAACTGGAAGGCCGGATAAAACAGAGCATAGTTTGTGTGAGAGCAAGACATTAAACTCTGGTTGCTCTTAGGCACGCAGGGGCACAACTTCTCAATACCCATCCCGAATTGCAAATATCTTAAGACGGAGCCATTTCTGGTAGCACTGACCTGGAATTCCAGTATTTAAGAGGCTGATAGAGAAGGATCAGGAGTTTGAGTCTAGCCTGGGCTACACAGCTACATAGTAAGAGTCTGCCTGGAAACAAGCAAGCAAGCAAACGGTTGCTCGTCATTTCCTAGCCATGCAATATGTCAAAGAGCCATGACTGTCTTCTTGGTTATCTCATAGTTGACAGGGAGCTATAGCTCACTGTGGTTACCCTCCATCTTAAGAGAGAACCACACTGAGTAGCTTAGGGAAAGATCAAAATTCTAAGCTCAAAGTCGGCCTTCTACTGACTGTATTTTTTCTTTCTTTTTTTCTTTTTTTTTTTTTTGGTTTTTCGAGACAGGGTTTCTCCGCGGCTTTGGAGCCTATCCTGGAACTAGCTCTGTAGACCAGACTGGTCTCGAACTCCCAGAGATCCGCCTGCCTCTGCCTCCTGAGTGCTGGGATTAAAGGCGTGCGCCACCATCGCCCGGCGACTGTATTTTTTTCTAACCATCAGTTGTCAGGGATTCTATGGAATACTATTCATAGTTTCAAGTTGATAACATCACTTTCAATTAGTCATTTAATACCCAGTCCACTTACACAGCATTGGCACTCAAGCGAACTTCTTGCATGGCACATGGGAGATATTTTCTTATTTTGTACATAATAAATATCCATGTATACATACATATAAATATGTGTGTATACATATGTGTGCATATATATACATATACAAATATATATATATATATTTTTTTTTTCCTCTCTCTGTCATTCTATGTTGTGTCCCAAGTGATGCTCAGTGCTCTTCCAGTGCACAATGCATTATTCTTGTACTTTGAGTTTTTCTGTCTGTAGAATTTTTTTTAAACTTTAACCGATCACGTGGTTTATTTCCAAGACATCTAATTGGTGTCTAATTTTTGTTCTTTTCACTTCCTGTCTTACTTGTCTTTGTTTTTATTGTCTGTCTTGGTGGTTTTCTTTCTTTTTTTCCATTTTTGAGAGATGGGATCCCACTATGTAGCCCTGGCTGACCTGACATCTTTTGTGTAGCCTCTCCTAATCTCAGGCTTGTGGTGATCCTCCTGCCTCTGCTTCCCAAGTGCTAGAATTATAGGCATGCATCACCATGCCTGACGTACATGTGTACTGATCATACACATTGTTTGTTTGCGTGTCTTTGTGCCATGTATATATGCACAGTACCTGAAACTGTGGAAGTCCAAAGAAAACTTTCAGGAATTGATTCTCTTCTTCTACCAATGAATACAGGGGACTCAACCCATGTCTTCAGGCTTGGTGACAGGTACCTTTTCTCTCTGAGCTATCCTGTTGGCTTATATATTGTTATTTTCATAAGAAGCAATTATTTCTTCATTTTCTTGGAGAATGTCCTTATTTCGAAGTAAATATGGGCCTGGTCTGCAGGAATCCAAGTTCTTGTTGTGACAGTTTTCACAACTTGGATTTAGCATATTTCTTTGAATACATCTGAGCCTCAGCATTTGAGTTTCTCTGGGATTGGAGGGTTGTTTTGATCTGTGTGGCATGTTCATGGCTTCCAGTTATAGTGATTTAAATTGGAGCCAGAACTGAAAGCATTTGTGAAAAATTCTTAGGACAGAATCTCGGGGGATTTTTGGAGGGGGGGGGTTAATGTATTTTTATTTGTCATTTATGAAGTTTAACACAGGATGTCTCAACTTCAGGACTAGTGGCAGAGCAGGACTAGTGGCGGTGTTGGTAAGAGCTCTTGACTTCCTTGTATAGTGTTTAGCAGACTATTTTGGTCTCTGTCCAGTAGGTGCCAGCTCTCATTGTAACAGACAGAAATGCCCCTGACATTGCCCAGTAGAGCATGCAGAGCACGCTGTGCTTTAGTCAACACATTATCAGCAAAGAGTAGCGATCTCATGGAATTACAGGCAACAAGGAAAGATGGGGCGGGAGAGGTCTTCCTCAGAGAAAAGCATGTCCGGTGGTCACCTAGTGCCAAAGGGCCAGCCCTAAACTCGTACAGACAAGTAACATTGCTCAACAGGTTATATTTGAGAATATGGGTATACACAAAAACACACACACACACACACATATGCATATACACACACAGACACACCCTTGCAATAACAGTTGATGAATAAAAGAGGCCAGGATTTGAAAGAGAGTAGGGAGGGGTATATGATATAATCTTAAACATAAAGGAGAGAGGCTGAGTGGTGGTGGTGCACGCCTTTAATCCTAGCACTTGGGAGGCAAAAGCAGGCAGATCTCTGTGAGTTCCAGGCCATCGCGGGCTACAAAGCAAGTTCTAGTACAGCCGGGGCTCTTACACAGAAAAACCCTGTCTCAAAACCCAAATAAACACATAGATAGATGATAGATAGATAGATAATAAAAATAAGTAGAGGAAAAACACACAAAGCCTACAAAAAACAGCGATCTTAAAATCTGTAGCAGTGTTTGCAAACACTCCACTAACATTTTACTATTTTGTTTAGAATTGACTTGCATTCATTTTAGATAATACATGCAAGACTCTTGGTTTTATCAGGTGGCCACAGGACACGTGGTAAATTATTGGGAAGCTAGATCTTAATTCTTCATGGTCTTCTTTCATATTGGGTTTTTAAAACCTCAGCTTTTTATTGTTTTCTCAATTTTCCACATGATCTTTCTTTCACCACTAGCTGTTTTCAGTCATTTACCTTTAACACATCTTTGCAAAGTATTCATCCTGGGGTCTATGGAAACTGCCAGCTTCCCACTCATATTTAATTGTTTCTTATGATGCCTCATTACATGGAGTGATCATATGATCAAGTTTAACTCTCAAGAATAAATTTGTGGATAATCACAGTCAATTCCCAGAGTAAACTTCTCTTGGAGACATCAGTGCGTCTGTAGGTGACAAGAGTTGTGGAGGGTTTTGGGCCCCATGGCCCCAGTCAGTATGCTCTGCAGAGTTGAAGGGAGGTGCTGTAGGAAGTCTTACAGGCAGTAGTTACCCGCCCACTGGGGCATGGCCTCTTATACTATTTATGCGAGTAGAGCATGTGTCCAGTCTGTTTTCTGGCTGCGGGATTTGGTTTCTGATCTCCGTTCCAGCAGAGGATTCTGATTTGTGAGTCTACCCTTAAATAAATAACTGTCTATTTCTCAACTCTGAGCTAGTGTGGGATTTCTTTTTAGCGTCCTTCTTCAGGCGAGTACCCAGTCAACTGTCCAGTTCTATTTCTACAGCTCTGCTGGAAGTCTTTAGGACCAAGAGAATATTAAGTAAAAAGGTCCTGAGGCAGATAAAGGCTCACAGGTACAGAAAGACCAGTGATATTAAATCATAATAAATGAGGGGAACATGGAGTTGGGGAGTCAAAGTGGAAGGAGATGGGTCTAACTGACCTCTTCAGTGTAGGACTGTTAAGAAGTTGGGGTTTCATGCTGCAGACAATGAGGAATGACAACATATGAGAAACGGGCATCTGTTCATGAGGTAACCACCCCCTCTTTGTCCCCCTCTGTGAATCTCAACAAGGGGAAGTGACAACAGGTTCTGAGGGACAGACACAACTAAACAGGTTGCTTGTGTGCACACGTGTGAGTACTTGCTTGAACACTCAGGACTGTGCATATCTCCTATGCATGGTAAAATGAGTTTCAGGGTATTAATGAAATCTCAAAGATAACAGTCCTTGAAGTATCTTCTCCCCACCACAGAAAAGGCAAATGCAAGGCAGCTGTTGACCAGCATGAAGATGTCAGCTGTCTGGGAAGGATTAGGGCTGCTGAGCACATCTGTTCCTGCCTCCCCCTGTCCTAGTGAACATTCTAGCTGAAATCCTTGCTCAGGGCTGGAGATCTCAGCAGCTGGCGCATGTGGAGAACAGGACCAGAAGGGACATGTCCCCTACATTTTGAAGACAAGGAATTAGTTTCCACTTCTCATTGCCTGTGCTCGCTAGACAAAGCAGCCGGCCAGGAATGTCCCCAACTTCAGGCTCCATGGCAAGACCCTCTTTCCTGTGCCAACAGTTGGTGGCTATGATAAGCATCAACTCTGTCCCATGCCACTTCGTGGTGACCCATTTTGCAGTTGCCCAGCAACCAAGGAAGTATTGGATATAGAATCCCATGAGCGGGGCCAGAGAGCTTTTGGCCCAGTTTCCCTCCCCATTATTCTCCTGTCATCTCCGTCCCAGTTGCATTAATCCCCGGGTACTGTGGTCACTGACAGCTCTGGCCCCCACTTGCTATACTCCTCATTTTGACAGTTACAGAAGGACTTCAGGTTTGACCCACCAGCTGGAAATCCCAGTGTGAAGGGAGAGGGGAAGGGTGTGGAAGCCCTGGAGACAGCGCCTGCCTTGTGCTCCATCTCTCAGGAGGAACTCTGTCCGCCTTGCAGTTCAGGGTGCCAGCTTGAGGGACAGACCCTGGTGGCTACTGCCCAAGGGCTGAGAGCAGAAATATCCCATGGCTGCCCCTGATGTCGAGGCTGTGGGAGAGAATGATTTAAAGAGATGGAGAGAGGCCATTTGGCTGCCCCGAATCTGATCTACTTTTTTCTCCCATAAATCCAGCGTTCACATAAATCCTCACCCTCTCCCATCCCACCCATGCTCAGTTCCTCTGTTTTTTCTTCCTACCTCTTCCTCATGAAAATAAATGAGTCACACTCGGTCATCTTGTGCTCATGTTTTATGTCTTGTAGCTTAGGGCTATGGCAGGGAGATGGTTCACCAGAAAAGGTTATTTTCCCCATGGCACTTTGGCTGGCAACTCTTTGTGCCGGTATCAAGTGGCCATTACAGATATTTCTTTATTCATAGGTATCCACCAGAGCTGAAACAACCATCACATCAAATTACAGGTTTTGGGAGCAGGGGCTGTGGCTCAGTGGGCAGGATTCTTGCCTGGTATCCACAACACCTTGGGTTCAGCCCTCAGCAGTACATATAAGACCAAGCATGGTAGAGCATGGTGTAATTTAGGACTTCTGAGGTGGAAGCAGGAATTCAGGATCATTTCTCAGCTGTACAGCATATAACTTGGTCCAAAAAAAAAATAAGAATCAGGTCTGGTAAAAGTCACTTTCAGTATTTTTGTTAGTAGGCCATTTAATTGAACATTTTTTTTCCTGGTGAAATCCTGTAAATTTTCTAAAGAGGTGATGCTGATTGAAGTTGGGGTGGGATTTGAGATGAGGAAGCCACTCTTGTTTCGGTGGCCCTGGAGACATGCCTGCGAAACTCTAAGGTACCCCTCTGAGTCTCAGCAAAGGTGGTGTTTGCTCTTTGTGCTGTATTCATCTTCATAGAATAAGAAATGGTTAGATCTATACTTCTCTCTTGGTTACACTTGGGCTTGCAGTCCCTACAGGGAAGAGTCATAGCATCTTGGTAGAATGGCCTCCATTGGCTAATCACCTCCTTCTGCACTGAGACTCAGTAGCTGTCTACCCTGTCTTGCATGCATATAAGGCTTCCATCTGCCATCTTTAACCTTACTTTCCTGCTAGAACTTCTGCTAGGCCTTTGGTTGGAGAACACAGTGACTAGCCAAGCGCTCACTCTCCTCTGTCAATACAGCCTCTTTCACCGTTGAGACACAAGGACTCCCAAGGATGGCATCACGACATTGCCTGACTTCTGAAGTGTCTCGTGATTTGCAGAGATAAAGCATTTTGTGTGGTGCTGTTCAGTTTACTGTATCAGAGGGACTTGTTCTGTACGGGAGCTTTATGATCGGGGATCTTCCAGGCCTTCTGTCTCATAGCTTTGTTCCCTGCCACTCATGCTGAGAGAAGCTTGTGGATGGACAATAAATATAGGTTGAATTCACTGGCTGGAGCCTGGGATGTGGGGCTTTCCTTTGACAGGAATCAAAATGCTGAATGGAAAAGGGCTTCAGCAGTGTGCTTTGCCTTCATGTTTCAAAATAGATCATATTCACCATTGGTCCAGAAGGATGTGGTAATAGCTTCACCAGCTGGAGAAGACAGCTCTTTGTTCTCTGGTTGCTAAACACTGATGATGTTGTGTGGTTCTCAGGCCCTGAAGGATCCTACCTTGGCTGCCAGGAAGGACTTCCAGAGGGAGGCAGAGCTGCTCACAAACCTGCAGCATGAACATATTGTCAAGTTCTATGGGGTGTGTGGTGATGGGGACCCACTCATCATGGTCTTTGAATACATGAAGCATGGAGACCTTAACAAGTTCCTCAGGTAAGCAAGAATGGACAAAGTGCCCCACCCTGTCCTAGTGAGCCTTTGGGGTTTTCTCTGTGACCAGGATTCATACTTGCCACTATGAACTCAAGTCTGAGCATGACAAATCAAAAGCACTGCCCTTATTTTCCTTCTTCCCTCTATTCTATCTCTATCTGTCTGTCTATCGATCATATCTATGTATCTATGTATGTATGTATCAATCAATCAATCAGTCTATATATCTACTTATCATATCTATCTATCAATCTATCGTTTATCTATCATTCATCTATCTATCTATCTATCATCTATCTTTGTCTATCTATTATCTATCTATCTATCAATCATCTTTGTCTATCTATCATCTATCATCTATCTATCTATCTATCTATTATTTATCTATCATCTCTCTCTTTATCATCTGTCTATCTTCACCCATCTATCTATCATCTATCTGTCTATCCATCATATCTATCTATCTGTCTTTGTTTATCTATCATCTACCATATCTATCTTCATCTATCTATTTATCTATCATCTATCTATGTATCTATCATCTATCTATCTGTCTGTCTATCTATCTATCTATCTATCTATCTATCTATCTATCTATCTCTATCTCTTTTGATCTGCCACCCAATACTTCTAACAACAGCTCCATGAAGTGGTCATAACTTGATCCATTTATAATTAAGATAAGCCTCCATTCCTCTTACACTAAGGACTGAGTTCTTCAGGAATCAATTTCATTCTGAATTCAAGTTCCAGAGATATAGAGAATCTAGTGGGTTTTCTCGGTATCTCTGGAGCAGTTATTTGGACCCCTGACTCATAAGGAGAGATCTGACGACGCTTTCCAAGTCTGACTCTACCCTTTCCTTTCTCAAAGTCTGAATGTTGACAAGTAGAATTTACCTGAATACAAAATGCCCTTTCTTTATCAATCACCTCTGCTTTCTGTTGAGTTTAGAGTTTGATACCTTCACATTCATCATCAAAAAGTCTCTGGTCAGGGGAAGGGAGCAGGTTAAAGATATAACTACTAATCTCACTTGACAAGTGAGACACTTAAGACATTCCCACATTAGGGCAAGAGAGCAGACAGCCCTAAAACCAGGGTTGTGAGTCTCAGCCTGAGATCCTCATAGGATATACCCCAGGCCTTACTCTTCTTCTCAGTCCATCTGAGAGCCAAGAAGAAGAGTACAGGTGTCTCACTGTGAATACAAAATTCTAAGTCTAGCTGGAAAGGAGGCAATGCATAAGAATTAAAGGGTTAGGTCTGGAGATAAAATAAAGTGCTTGCCTAGCATACATAAAACCCTCAGTTCCATCCTCAGAACCACATAAACCAGTCACAGGAGTGCACACTTGAAATCACAGAATTCCAGGGGTGGTCCAGATTCTTACCTGTCTTTCTAGGCTCTGTTAGTCAAGCCCAAGCTTCTCTCCAAAGCTAAAAACTGAAAGCCTGGGTCACATCAACCCTTGCTAGGAGTGGGCTTGCAGTCTTCTTTCCAAAGTGCCCTCTGCTTGACCTCCGGGGTCAGTTCTACCTGCTAACATGTCTCCCGGGTTAGTGGAGTTTGGGGCCGGCAGGAGTGTATCCTGGTATACTGGAGTGGGAACTGGCCTCCTGCCATATCCCTGGCTAGCTGATTCAGTTGCTTTCCTATGGAGGGAGGGGGGCAAGGCCCACCAAAGATAATAAACAGAGTGTGTTCCTATTTAATGGCATTTCTCAGTGGAAATTGGAGAAGCAGTAAAGCAGGCCGGGGCTTTGCAATGCACCAGGGCTAGTTGGTACTCCACTCCGTAAATAAGGGCTCCGGTGTGGTTATGGCTCATTGGACCTTCGGCAGGAAAGAGGGAACACTGAAAGTGATCGACCTGACAGGGCAGGGTGTTATCATAACACAGACAGGCTTGATTTGCGCGTGGGAGGGAGTGTGGGGCTCCCAAGGAGACAGAGGGTTTCTACACCCTGCCTTGCTTTTGGTATTGTGGAGTGGTTAGAAGTGCGGAGCAAGCCTTACATCACTTACAGCTGGGGGTTCTGGGTTGCCTGTCAGGAGTATCAGTACGGGGAACTTGTCAGAAGTCCAAATGAAGGAGCACTGCATAGCCAATCAAAACTCCAATGGGCGAGGCCTTATGATCTCTTTAAAATCCTTCTTAGACCCCTTATGGCAGCTTTTACAGGTGAACGCATATTTATAGTCATAGATAAAATTCACAGTATGCCTCTTGGCCACCATATAGCTATTCTGAAATATCTAGGACTTTGGTTGAGCTTTCTAATCATTTTGTGCCTCAACTTAAAAAAAAAATCAGAGTATGAAGATTAAATATGAAAATTGAATGAATGTATTTAAAACTATCAGAATAGCATTTGACATATACATGTAGTAAGTGTTAGTGGTTACCTTATTAATTATTCTAGAATAAGCACCTAGCATCTGAGAAGAATTAGGTGGTAGTTAGTGAAAGAGGTTTGTTCCCTCCTGACGGAGGAAGGTCATTGGCCAATAAAGAAACTGCTTGGCCCTGTGGGTGGAGTAAACAGAACAAAATGCTGGGAGGAAGAGGAAGTGAGCTCAGAGATTCAACCGCTTTCCTCTCGGGAGCAGACGCCTGAGAGAGACGCCATGCTCCCGGCTCCTGGGCAGACACACGCCATGAAGCAAGCCGCCAGGTTAGACATGCTGAACCTTTCCCGGTAAGACCGGTGCTCACCGATTATTAGAGATGGGTTGATCGGGATAACAGAATTAGCCAGTAAGGGCTAGGGCTAAAGGGCCAAGCAGTGTTTAAAAGAATACAGTGTCCGTGTAATTATTTCGGGGCATAAGCTAGCTGGGCAGGTGGCCGGGGTGTTGGGGACGCAGCCCCGCCGCCGCCCTTATTACTTCACCCTCCCCCAGCTGAGTACATCTGTGTTATCTTAGTGGGGATCTTATAGTTTTACCCATAGCCACACTCACTAGAAATAGGCTCTGGTAGCTGGGAAAGGAGATTTCCTTCATTTCTGCAGGACATTCAAGCGCACTGAAAACCACCAAGTCTTCGCCTTTGATCTATCGAGTTCTCTCTGCTCCATCTCTCTTCCCCCTCCTTGCAGGGCCCATGGGCCAGATGCGATGATCCTCGTGGATGGGCAGCCACGCCAGACCAAGGGGGAGCTAGGGCTCTCCCAGATGCTCCACATCGCCAGTCAGATCGCCTCGGGCATGGTGTACCTGGCCTCGCAGCACTTCGTGCACCGGGACCTGGCCACTAGGAATTGCCTGGTTGGAGCCAACCTACTGGTGAAGATTGGTGATTTCGGCATGTCCAGGGATGTTTACAGTACTGATTACTACAGGGTAAGGAGACCTTCCCAGCTGCAGGACTCCGTTTCCAAGCTAGTGCCTTGCTTACATGTCTGTCATTGTCCATTAACCCTGTCACTATGGTGCACGTGTATGCACACGCATGCTCACATATGCACTCAACAGTTATCTTTTCAGCCACTCCTGCATCTTGGCATATCATGGCAGGCCATTTCTCCTTCCTCTTTGACATTAGGCTGGACTCTGTCTATACATTGCAATAACCTGCACATTATGATCATACTGAATCTATGCAAACAGAGTTGGATACCTATAGCCTACAGCTCTATGTTCAAGCGGACACTCAGACAGTCTAACTTGGTGCTTTGTCAGTATTCCAACCCATCCCCTGACCTAGCCTCACTCACAACATGTTTTATTCTCTGAAATTACCTCATGATTATGTGAGGGTGGTCTCATTTCCAGAGGCCGATCTTTCTGGACAATGAAACCCAAAGTAAACTAGAAGGGGTCAGAACATTGCTAAACATAATCCTACTGGCCTTGGGAAAAAAAAGAAAGTAAAGCATCTTGTCAGTTTCTGGCTCTGAAGAAAGGGTGGCCCTGGAGAAAGGCTGACTGTAAGGAAGCTTCATTTGCATATAGTTATCTTTCTCCCACTGCAAGATCTTTTCTCTCATTTATGGGGAATCTCCTTATCACACAACATTGAGGTTTTGTATATTATTATGGCCAGGCTAAAGGTGAATGGCCATGAATGGCATTTGTCCCAGAAAGAAAAACATGGGTACAACTTGATTCCTACAGATGGGGTCATGTCTGCAAGCTGATCGGGAGAGACCTCCTTCTGCCATAAGGAAGATGGATGTTGCCTATAGTGGCACTTACCTGTAATCTCTTTCTTGAAAGGTTGAAGCAGGTGGATCTAGAGATTAAAGTCAGTCGACAGAGAGACACCTTGTCTCAGAAAAAAATAAAAAGGAAAAAAATTTAAAATAGGGAAGACTTACTTTGGGAACTTTGACAAAGGGAGGAGTTTAGATTTGTGGTATAGGACAATATTGCACAGCAAAGAAGGTTTTCTTCTTTGACACATGAACAAAATTACCACAAACCATAGACCTTATGATGATACAAGAATACTTCTTGAAGTTTCAGAGGCTCAGGCAGCTTTCACGTCTATTAAAGGCTGGCTCTGTGGTTCATAAATGGTCTTTTTGTTGTGTTCTTCTATGGTAGAAAAGGCAAAGGGTCTCCTTAAGGTTCCTCTGTGAGATCACTAAATCTAATGATCTAATGACCTTATAAAAAAGTTCTGCTTCCAGTCCTTCTTCTAATATCATTACCTGCCATTCTTCTGCTATGAACCAAATGTTTGTTTCAGTTTGGGGACTAAGGAAACATAACAATAAGTTCATAGCAGGAGAACGGAAGCCAATTGTCTAGTCATGGTAGGAAACAAATTATCATATTGTGAAGTATGCTCTTGTTGCCTGATCTTGGTAAACCAGGAGGCTAGAATTTGGGGCTAACAAGTACATATGTTCTTGTTAGATTTATTGGGTGCTCCTGGTAACATTGTGATATGTGATTGACTGCTCAGGTATGGATACTGATTGCTCAAGGAGCTTCAGTTTAGTAACAGTGCAGAAGAAAGTGGGATGTTTTAGAAATGCCCATTATGATGACTTCAGAGTGTCTTGTTCATGGTTCAACCAAAGGATGGCAAACCATGGGCTGTCATGAACACACAGGAGGCAAAATAAACCAAAGCTGGTAAAAGCAGCCTGTCCCCAACAAACTGGCTGGATTTAGTCACCCATCCTACCAAGTATCCCCAGATAGAGGAAAGGGAGCACGGTGTGGCACACCCACAGGTTGATGGTCAGAAAAGACCTATCAGGATGTACAAAAACATAGTCTTCAGCATTTAGACACTTCTCTCCACCAGGTATATCCAAAGCTTGGGGTGTGGTTACTAAGGACATTCATGGGTCATAGAGCCTAGCTGAAGTCATTTAATAATCTTCTGTTCTATAGAGTGGAGTTTCCTGTCTTGCCTGGCTCAATTCAGATCTATAGTGGTGCTGATGATAGTAAGGGATGGATTGCTGATTTTTGTTTGTCTCTTTCTGTGCAGGGAAGATGATTAATTATAATTTCTTGGTCTCTATGGACTCTACCAGGTCTTAGGGGACCATATCAGACCAGAATATACAAACTGAACTTTGAAACTGGCTTCTTGGGTTGCACTTAATATTTCTCCTTTGGTCTAAAGGTTTAAAAAAGCCATAAAAAAAGAACACTATTCAAATGGTACACCTTCACCGTTGCTTTAACAACCATGAGCTGTACTCTAACTCATGGCAAAGCATCGAGGAGTAAACCGAGCTCATTTCTTTGGGTATCAGGACATAACTTAAGGATATGAGGTCAATGGGACTTGTCCACAGCCCAGGTATCTTGAATTCTCTCTTCATAATCTCCAAGTCAAGCTCTTAGCTGAGACTAGATGACTTGAAAAGATATGTCTTTGCTTCCAGGGAAGTATGAAAGGAAGGAGGATAGTTATTTGCGTGAAAGTGGCCACTCTCAAAGATTAGATTGGATCATCTCTCTCTACCTGTTTACTTACAGTGCCTTCATGTATGCTTACACTCCTCCTCCTACCCCAAATCTTTTGAAAAATGAAAGACAGGAGGTCATAAAAATGTCCCCAAAGTCTTATCCCCTTTGGAAGACATTGGTGTTACTAAAGAATTCTTGTATTTGGAGCTAATGTCAGCTATGTTTACTCTCTAATGTTCAGCCGCCATCAGCACCATGTGCGCACTGCCTCTGTTCAATTTTCTTATTTTGAAAATTAGGAGAAAAATATTTACCCAGCGGAGGTATGTTTATGTTAAGCAAGTTAGTTTGTGCAAAGAGCCTGAAATGCAATACTTACTAGACAAACTATTGCCTTTACTGCCTCCTCAGCACCCCTCACACCCAAAACAAGAACACTGGAAATATAGTCTCATTCCCAGATGGGATTCTTGGATCAGAAAGTGGAGCTCCTGACCACTGGAAAATAAACTAGGCTCGTAGAGCAGCCCCAAAGGAGTGGGGTTAAGATGATCACCTCAAGGAAAATTCCTTCCCGAGGTTTCAACTTCCATAGAAATAGTGAGGGGGTCATCAGCATTGCCCTTCTTCTGGCAAGCATTTATATGTTCTTGCTTCCAAATCATGAAGCTCTGCCTGTGTTCGAGAGATTTATATAAGACGTTCTTGTGCAGTATACACTGGCTAAGGCCCCAAGGAATGTGGTGATTTAGCAGATAGACAGAACACTATGAGGATGCTCTCTGTAACCTGGGTCTAATTTCTGCCGCTCTACTATGCTTGATTACTAGAACTGAGAACTTGCTAACTACTCAACTTGCTAACTAATGTAGATAAACACAGAGTATTTAGATGTGTGTGTGTGCGTGTGCGCGTGGGCACACATGTGCATCCATGAGCATGCCTATGTGAATGTATGCATTGTCAGCTTGGGTTTGCTCACTCTGTAAAGTGTACACCGAAGGAGGTCATGAGGAGAGGCAAAGATAAGGTCCTTCTTATAGGTTTCCCTTTTCATTTCTAATTTCTTAAAACAAAGAGGCGCCATCTGGCTCATACATAAATAGTGTATGCAAATGATTTACAAAGGTGAACTGCCAAATTTCCTGTTACACATTTAGCTCGAAAAAACAAACATGCCCGTATCGAGTCAGTGGAGCAATTTCTTCTCTTCTTACCACAGGCTGGATGGCAGCCACCTTTTCCTCCTGTGGCTCACTGATGCTTCCAAGAGGGCCTGTACACGGGCTTTGACAAAGGTTCCTTTGCAGATACCACGCTTCCCTTCTTAGATCTTCAGAGAACTCAGAGACATTGGTGATCAGATGTCGAGTTAGATAAAAATTGCAGGCATCCTGAAAAGGATCAGGTTGCAGGTTGAGACTCCAGAGCAGGCCTACTTTCACGTGTGTTTATTGAAGAAGCAGGCAGTCAGTCGAGATCTGGAGGGGACAGGAGTAGAGGGGGGATAGATGCTATGATTCAGAGAGCCCAAAGTGGGGTCACTCTGCTGCCCTTGCACTTAGCTTCATGCCTGGCCCTCTGTAGAGTTAATGGAATTATTGGTGAAGGAAAACATGCGTGTTCAAGGTTGAGCAGGAAATGGATCAGACCACAGAGGAGCCCATGGGTAGTCAGACGCCCAGCACTGTGATGCTATCCTTTGGCAATCCAGATCAAGCCTTTTCTAAACAAGTGGATACAGCATCTTGGAAGACTGCCCTGAGGAGGCAGGCGAGGAGTGACCTGGATTGTCTGAGTCTGGGGTGTGTGCTTTAGGTTAGAAGTGGGGTTCTAACCATAAAGTAGAGCAGTGTGATAGCTGGTAATATGACATGAGGTTCCAAGCTGAGAGTTCTGGGGCCTACTTCTCAGCAACTCTTAGACATGCTGAGAATAGTAATCCACAGAACATGGGAATCATTGAGGGCATGGTGGTAGAATATTTCATATATATAGTCATATATATTTCATATACACACATATTATTTATTTATTTTAAAAAGAACAAACTATCATTTTAAATTTTACTTACCAATCCTAGTTCCCATTCCCTCCCCTCCTCCTATTCCTTCTACCTAGCCCCCACCCCGCCCTCTATTCATTTTTCAGAGAGGGTGAGGCACATTGCTTTGGGGAAGGTCCAAGGGCCTCCCTGCTACTTCTAGGCTGAGCAAGGTATCCATCCAAAGAAAATAGGTCCCAATAAAGCCAGTACAAGCAGTAGGGATAAATCCTGGTGCAACTGCCAGTGGCCCTCGAAGTCTGTCCCAGCCATACAACTGTTACCCACATTCAGAGGAACTAGTTTGGACCTTTACTGTTTTCTTCCCTGTCTGGCAAGAGTTGATGAGCTTCCATTAGCTCAGATAAACTGTTTCAGTGGGTATACCCATCATTGTCTTGACCTCTTTGTTCATATTCTT